CGGTCTCACTCTTGCTCAGGCTGGTTTCGAACTCCTGACCTCGAGCAATCCACTGCCTCGGCCTCCCAGAGTGCTGGATTACAGGCCTCCTGGGCTCAAGCGATCCTCCTGCCTCAGCCTCCCAAGTAGCTGGGACTACAGGCATGTGCCACCATGCCTGGCTAATTTTTTCTATATATTTTTTTAGTTGGTCAATTAATTTCTTTCTATTTTTAGTAGAGACGGGGTCTCGCTCAGGCTGGTGTCGAACTCCTGACCTCCAGCAATCCACCCACCTTGGCCTCCCAGAGTGCTAGGATTACAGGCGTGAGCCACCACACCCGGTCCATAGTTTTCCATGAGGATAAAAGAAGCTTCTTTCCCCATGTACCCCAGAGAACTTCTCCTTGGCTTAGATTGGGTTCTGTGCCTGTTCCTCAGCCAGCTCACTGTGTCCAGGAAGTAGAACTTGCTAATTAACTTAAGTCACTCAGGGATTACTCTAGAACAGGAGGAGTTGTCAGTTCCTTTTAAACCACCAGGATGGGAAATTAGGGGCACTAATAGGAAGGAGGAAGGATGGAATAAATGATGGGGAGGGAATCTGTCTAACCTCCCTGATCCCATACTCTCTGGCCATAGCTCAGAAGACAACAGGTGTGTGCCTGAGCAAGTGAATGGCAGAGCTTGTGAGTTAGCCCCATTCTTCTGTTTCTAAGTAGTAGCAGGCTTTTTAGCTGGGAACATGGGGACTCAGTTAAAAACTATATTGTCAGGCCGGGCGCGGTGGCTCACGCCTGTAATCCCAGCACTCTGGGAGGCCGAGGCAGGTGGATTGCTCGAGGTCAGGAGTTCGAAACCAGCCTGAGCAAGAGTGAGACCCCGTCTCTACCATAAATAGAAAGAAATTAATTGGCCAACTGATATATATAGAAAAAATTAGCCGGGCATAGTGGCGCATGCCCGGCTAATTGGGAGGCTGAGGCAGGAGGATTGCTTGAGCCCAGGAGTTTGAGGTTGTTTTGAGCTAGGCTGACACCACGGCACTCACTCTAGCCTGGGCAACAAAGTGAGACTCTGTCTCAAAAAAAAACAAATAAATAAATACTATATTGTCCAGCCTCTTTTGCAACTAACTGTGACCATGTGACTAAGTTATGACCTATGAGAGGGTGCAGAGATGGTATGTTCAGCTTTGGTAGCAAACTTCAGGGAATGAGCATGCCTTCCCCTCCCCTCCTGGACCACAGGCCAGGAGTTTACCACAACGACCCCAAGCTTCACAGTATATACAAAGTGTCCAACATTGGGTGTGAACATACTCAGCTAACCCCACATCTCATCAATGTCTCATCGGAAACCCTCTGATTACAATTAATGGCTAACTACATGCAGACGAAATTTTGTAACAACAGACCCCATATAAGCACTATTTTGTCACAATTATGCAAAGCTGTAAATGACACTGATACTATTGTACACACCTTTATAATCCATAACATATCACAACTTTTAAGCCATCGATGCATGCATATAGATGCAAACAAAAAGCACTTCAATCACTATAGAATTGGTTCATAAGATGTGCACAGATGGAATAAGTGCTTATATACATGAGAGGTAAAGCTCTACGAGAGCGTATCGATAATACCACACCAGCATTCCGATTGCTTTTGGCACTATATAAAAAAGCACGAAAAAGGTGAGTTCACAGGAATGCTCACAACCAGTTCGCTTGCACAACAATCATAATGTATTATAAGAGTGCCACTAAGAACCGAATCTACCTACACTACACCACACCATCCCATAATGACAATAATAAATAGACTAGACAAGATAATTATCTTAAAAAAGACCTAACACACTCTTACAGGACAACGCCTCTAACATGATGTCTAAAAACAGATAGACACTAAAAAAAATATCACCTTATTACCAATTCCACAACAGACACGAACAAGCTTAATACAAATACGGTCCGCATGACTAACCCCATCAGATAATCCGCATTTACCGTACCTAACTATGCAGAGCACAACCTGAAACGGGTACAAAAATAACCATTTTACATACATTAGAGTACGTCTATCTATCGAAAATACTAGACCAACTCTTGTGGGGGAGTGACGACTGAATGAGAATACTCATTCTTCCGCTCATGCGCAGGACTGCTTGAAAATATGTTATACTTTATAACCTCTCAAATATCGCGTTTCTTCGATAAAACGGTATCATCAAGGTATTGTAAGATGTAAATACTTGTAAAAATTGCATGCATCATAGAAACCAGAGT